GATCACCTACTCCAAGCTCAATAATCCCAACAAGTAGGAAAACAAGCAAAAGTGTTAGGACACTTGCATGGATGAGTAGGAGCTCCTGGCTGATGTCAAAAATAAAAAGGATGCTTGGAAGATGGGGTAAGGAAAGCCAAAGACCAACTGCACTTTGATCTGGCAAGGGATGTGAAGGGCAACAAGAAATGATTACGTAAGTACGTAAACAGAAAAAGGAAGACTAGGAAACAAAATGTGTGTGTGTGATGAACGGGGCAGAGGCTCTGTGACAAAGAATGCAAAAAAGGCTTAGCTGCTCGATGCCTTTATCTCAGTCTTACAGGTAAGATCAGAAATCCCAAATCCCTGAGACCACATGAAATGTCTAGAGCAAGGCAGACTTTCCCTCAGTGGAGGAGGATCAGCAAACCAGAGAAAGTGCATGTAATGCACCTACATTGATAAGGAATCTGGACAATGCCTTTGCAGGGCCACTTTAAATTATTTTTGAAAGGTCATGGGAACTGGGAAATGTTCCTAAAAGACAGAAGAAGAACAATTATGACTCCAATCTTCAAGCAGAAGGATCTAGAAAACTACAAGCAGGTCAGCTTCACCTCAATCCCTGGGAAGGTCGTGGAGTAATTAATCCTGAAAGCCATTTTCAGACACACCATAGAATCAGAGAAGGGCAAAGGACCACAGTGGGTCCTCTGGTCCAATCTCCCTGCTCAAGAAGGGTCATCCTAGAGCACATTACACAGGATTCTGTCCAGACAGTTCTTGAATATCTCCAGTTAGGGAGACTCTACAACTTCTCTGGGCAATCTATTACAATGCATGGTCACTCACAGAATAAAGAAGTTCTTCCTCAAATTCAGGTAGGACTTCCTGTGCATCAGTTTCTATCAGTTTCAGCCTCTCATTCTATTGCTTGGCACCACCAAGAAGAGCCTGGCTCCACCCTCCCACCCTCCACTCTCCTCCTTTTCTGTGGGGGAAAAGAAAGTGATTGAGGAAGTCATCACAGCTCTATGAAGAAGCAAATATGTTTGTCCAATCTGATAGCCTCCTACTATGACATGACTACTAGCTTGATACCTGAGGGGAGAGGAGTGGATTCTGTTTAACTTGACTTTAGCAAAGCTTTTGACACTCTTACCCATAATATCCTCAAAGGAAAGTTAATAAAGTGTGGGTAAGTGATCTGTGAGATGGATTGAAAACTGAACAGCTGGGCCCAAAAGAGTTGTGATCGTGGTATAAAGTCCATTTGGAGGTCAGTCACTAACAGCATACCCCAGGGATCAAATACTGGCACTAGTACTATTTAACATCATTAATGACCTGGCTGATGGGGAAGGGCTTATCCTGATTGGGTTTGATACAAAACCTGGAGGAACGGCTATAATATACTAGATGGATGTGCTACCATTCAGAGGACCATCAACAGACTGAAGAATTGAGCAAACAGGAATCTCATTAATTCAGCAAAGGCATCTTGCTTTAATTGACCCCGCTCGAACAGTGGGATCGCACTAGATGTTCTCAAGAGTTCCCTTCCAACCTCAACAAATATGTAATTTTGTGATTCAGTACTTGATGAGGTACATTCTGCATTTATTTTCACTGATGTTGATAGGTTATCATTAAGTGTCTGACCTCTCAGAGGCATGCAATGAACAAATGCCTGTGAGGGTTATGTACTATGCTGTATTTAGAAGGGATCATATCATTGGTCAATTATCTTTGAAAAGGGCTGTAAAAAAATCAACTGTAAAAGACTTTGAAAGAGCTCACTAGAAAGGACAACTAATTATGGCTCAAGAAAATCATGCTACATAATTTCTAAGGTGATATTCCAAAGCACATCAGAGTAATTTTCTTCATATTTATTGGCTTGGATTAGGCCCCTTTTGAATAGAAAACAAGAAGTGACTAAAATGCACAAATAAAGAAACATTTAAAAAATACCACAGATAGTGAAGGTCTACCTCATATAACTTTTTTTGGACAAAATAAAGAATGAAATCACATTATTAGGAATCTCATAATTACAGAATAGTTATGGAACTTCTCTTGGATATGGTGAAGATATTTTTACCCCTTTTACAAGTGGAAAACTAATGAATAAACAATGAATAAACAATCTCTCCTCAATAAAATTCCTGCCATGTGTGCTGCAGCTTGTTACCTCACCTGGGATGCTAATGTTGTCTGAGGGTAAACTGTGCACTGAAACAATCCATGCCAAAAAAAAAGCTTTTCTAATCTACTATGTTTGAATTTTTTGTTTAGTAATTTTTTAATTTCCAGTCATTTTGGAAATGATGCTTTTAAACAGCTTTACTGTAAGATGAGACAGGCTATAAACTTCAGATGAGAAGAGGGAGGACTAGATGCCTGAGGAAGAGGTACTTTAATTTGGCTTTTTCATCAAAACCAGAATAGTGAAAGACCAGCCTAAAGGCTGGATTTGTGAAGAGTGTCTGAAGATGTAGATGATGTCTAGTGTGATCTCAAAGGCATTAAACATAATAAGTTTAATGGTATTTCCAAAAACAAAGGGCATGCTTCAACCATTTCAAACTAGATCCTAAGACTCCAAAAAGTGGCTCACAGAAAACCCAGCACTTTTGTTCTTGGGCATAAACATGAGCCAGCAAAGATGTTTCCTTATGTTAACTCTGAAACTTGTGACTTGTGTCTATCCTAGCTGACCCTTTACACATGGGAAAGACATAAGGTTATGTGTGGCTATGGAGATATTTAGAATCTTACAATCATAGGCAAATGTCCAGAAATTGCATGTGCACAATGGAAAATATTCTGAGAAGACAGGCTTTGTATTATTTGGATTAAGTTTGTTTTCTCATTTTCCCAAATGCATGCATGTACCCCTGAAGGATTTTCTGGTATTTATCTGGGACTCAGAGGTTATCAGTTCACATATGTAACTTAATGGGAGTTTGCTCTGTTTGGTGCTTGAGAATTATTCATGCATGAAAATAATGAAACAGAAAATTTCTTCTTTTTTCCATCATTGAACCTGCATTCACTTTTAATTGTTTAGTGAGAACATCTGTTAACTTTCTTTTGTATTATCAAGTTGTCAATGAGAGAACAAGCTATAAAATTTGAAGGAATTAAATGAAAATGACAAGGAAAGTTTAGATCAGGTGTCATGAGAAATGACTGACTAAAAGACTTGAGGGAAAACTTCCCAGGGGAAGTCATAAGGGGTGTTAATCTAGAGATGTGCAAAATTCAATTGAAAAAAATTGCAAGTGTGCATTAGGGAATGAGCCTGCATTAGGCAGGCTACTAGATTTACAGCAAGGCACTACTGTTGCCTTGAAATATGCTCCTGACCATAGAGTCTTACAGAATGTAGTGGGATAGCAATGTTCATAGTAATCTCTTATATAAAAAACATATATGCACATATTCATGAAGTGGACAAGAGGACTACTTTATTAGTAGTGAAATTAAGAGTTTAGGTCCATATTTTTTTGAATATCTTAATCACTAGTAGGCTTCCTCTTGGTGGGAAAATATTTTTTCAAAGCACAAATTTAAAAAAAATTGTGATTATGGAGAGGATGGGGGAGGTGAAAGAATTTTGTTGTCTAGTGGTTCTGAAGATGGAAGCTAGCAGAGTTTTAGCTTTTCAAGGAATGATATTTCTTGAATGACAACATTGCCCCTGTTACTGTTGTGGCACACCTTCAGTGAAATCTCCTGGTGACTGTCTGACGATTCTTGCAGTTTGATATTCATTGAGCCTCCTCAAGGATGAGGGGGAAAACAGTGAATTCAACCCTTTTGCTTTCTGGATAAATGCATCAGATGCTAGCCAGTATTTACAACAGGAAACATATCTCCTCTTCAGACTATCCAAGTGGCTGGTGGCTGTAGCAGAAATTTCTAAGGTGTTCAGACTTGGAATTCATAATAGCAGCTTTGGGCTGATATGGTTCAAAAGAAAGCAGGGCAGCATCCAAAGACAACTGGATTTCTAGGGCTTTATAAAACTCTAGGAACTCTTGTTTTGTTTTGTTATCAAAGCTTAAGAAGCTCTATTTTTTTTTAAAGGTTCTTAGACCCATTACTCCTAGCCTAAGCCACATGCAATGTCCTGGTCTTCAGCTTGTCTAAACTCTTTTATGACAGCCTATTTCAAAACTTGTCTCTGAATATATCATATTTTCAATAGAGCCATGAAAATATTTAAATTGTTCTATCATTAAAAGTGTTATTTACAAGTCCAAAAGACCTCAAATATCAGGTCACTTTTGAAAACTCTTGAATTTCACAATAAGATATTTTTCTCTCAAAGAGTGAAAGAGTAAACCAGTTTATATGGCCTTTGAGCATACTTTTTCATGTCTTTATATTCCTTGAAGTCCTCATGAATTTGAAGGTTTATAATTCATTTTAATCAAAATTGGCATAACCTAAAGTAGTGGAAATAGTGAGAGGCACAACAGGCTACTAATTTAACTGTATAGTTCAAACCTAGATGTGTTTAGTAATTCCTAAGGTCCAAGAACAAACAAAGAAAAGAAAGAGAAGTCTCCATTCCATGTTCTGAAATCCAAGCTTCAAGTTAGCTCCAAGTTAGCCTAGTAAAGAAAAATTATCAGAGGCAGTTGCCAAATAGAATCCTATCATACGATGGATAAAAACGCAGCAGCGTAGAAGGTCCAGGGAAGAAGATCTTTACTATAGCAACTGTGCACATTAATATAATACTACCGAGCATAAAATGGCTGTGAAAACTGACTCAATTCTTCTAAAATAAGGCAAGTTATTTTTTCACATTGCTGCACTCCAATATGCTTCATACCTCTCTCCCAAGAAATTATTATTCCATCAAGCATTTAAACTTTTATGATTGTGTTATAGTGCAAAAGTTCTTAATGCGTTTTAGAAATATTTTTTGAAAGTAAAATTAATGTGATTTTGTTTCCTTTTTTTTTTTTGAGATGGTGAATTGCTTTTTTTTTTCCAACTAATTTGATAGAATTCTGCTAGAACTACAAACAGCTGGATTTTCCCAATACTTTGGCTTCATCAATGTTATTATGTGTATTAACACCCTCTCAGAGCTTACTGCTAGGAGTATAGCAAATCATAAGGTTTTTCACTCTGCTTTTGTACTTGCTCCTTGATTTCTCTGCATCTGGTATGATGACTGTCTGGTGGAAATGTTCCAACTACCTCTCTAGCAATTCTAGATAGGAACACCTCATGAGTAATTTCTTTTTTTTCATTTAGTGGAATGGAGCAGAATTTTAGCAACATGACCATGAATCCTTCCAAATTGGTGAAGTGCTCATACTTCACCACCACGGAGGTAGTGGTGATATGTGTAAACCTCTAAAGTAGAACACAGAATTACATAAATGCCAAATAATGTAATTTCCAGTCGGTAGCTTTATTGGTGGTGCTCAAACTTGTGGGCTCTTTTTAAATTTTATAACTGGTGTTATATCACACCAGTGACATTTATTGAGAATTTTTTGAGCATATGATCATTGAAACTTTGTAATAGTTTGGTTGCATAGATCTATCGTAAAAATATGATGAATATAGGAAGGAAGTGTCCTGATGACAAAGGTGAAAACTATGTTATCAAAGAATTATTTCCACTGTTACGTAGTGAAAATGAAAAAGTATCTTTAGTACTAATGATTCTCAGAGAGAAATTTCAAACAAGAGTGATAGGATCTCACATAAAACTATCTGATGGTGCCTAAATATAAGGGATACATCTCATTTTAAGTTAGTTAAATTTGATATAGACATTTTACACACACTGAAGCCTGGGGGCAGGTATGAGGGTTGGGTTCTAGATTTGTCTTCTATATGGAAAAGCATACAGGAAGGAATAATAGTATTTCCTGTAAAAGGCATCAGAGTATTGCCTTTATAAGGGCTACTTGTAATGATATGAAATGTCAGAATATTTGGGGGTTTGAAAAATAAGCCTTATATACAGGAGCTAGAAACAATTTCCACAACTGATAACATCAGATCTTTATTCCAAGTGCACTTCCAGCTGCAGTCTATTTCCCTGCAGTGTGACCATTTTTCCTAATTAAGATTGTCATCTCTGTCAGGCTGAATTGTATCTACATCAATTAACTTATTCAAATTGATTATGGAATAGGGCCTAGAAGGAATAATATGGTACTCAAGTGACATTTTCTTTCATATGTCTCTTTACACATGCCTTTGTCCATTGCTTTGACCTCCAAAGAGTCTCACTGAATGGTGAACTCCACTTACCTCATTGAGACAGGTATCAGACTACAATGCCTTATCTGTGGGCAGAGCACATTACACAATGTGGAAACTACTGCAAAACCAATAATCATACTGATACTTCCAATTTTATGTCTTCTTTATGTAGGACCAACTTATACTGATTCTTACACAGAGGCCTTTTTAACCTCAGTAGAACTGATGTACGTATGGAGAACAGTGTTTTTTGAGACTTACAATACTGGTGTAACCAAAAAATAGATTTTTTTTTTTTACACTTAATAACTTGTCAAGGTAAGTATTTCAATCCATTAATAATCATTTCATTAAAGTCTGTGTAATAATAAAATTACATGGAAAAAAAGTTTGGCTCGAACAGTGAGAATAGCTTCATATACTCCAAGAAGGGACTTTATACATGGAGATATTTCATTTTCTTCAGAAGTTTTGTTTCCTCCTAAGCCACACCATTTACAAAGAGGGTGGTTACCGATTGCTTCATTGCTGCAAACACTCCGTTATAATGATGAGCTGCTATGTAACTATGATGCTGTTCCCTAACAGCTTATTAGAAGTTACAATCATTGACTTACACCTCCTTTTATACAGCACTCGTACTTTCAAGTTTCCTCACTTTTCTTAACCTTTCAAGAACTACTTCAATTTCATGCCTAATATTTTATATTATTAATAGGCTGTGATATACTAAACACTATATCCTAAACAGTTCAAGTTTTGCCACAATGAATGCCAGAGCTCAGACTAATCCCTGGTAATGTAGGAGAAAGCTTTTCATGCATATTGTCTCCTTAGCAGCAGGTCTAGAGAAAACAACTGTAAAACTGAAGCTGACAGTATACTAGCACTGTGGTTTTGTGAGGTATATGCTAGCTTGCTGGGACACATATGACAAAGTGGGCATTAGTTTCAAGTATTGTAAAATAAACTTTCAAAACACATATGCACTATGGTCTGTAGCTGTAGCCTCATGCTTGGGCTTAGTGCTGATGAAACTTGTCTGCTACGGTATCTGTGTGCAAAAAACTGACAAATGAGGAAGATTCCAAGGACAAATAAATTGCTGGACTTGTCTCCTAGATGTTAATTTCTAGTTCCATTGAAATAAGTGCCAGTGACATGAACTTTTTGTTTTTGTTTTGTTTTCTTGAAGACAGAATGAATCCTCTGACACAACGGGTTTAGGCTGACTTGCTTGACTTTGCCTGTCCCTATCTCAAATAGCAACAGCTATGACACTGCAATACACTGCACCAAGTGGTTCAGGAGTCAGGATCATTTGGAAAAATCAGTCGTTACAATATGTTGCAACTTTTTAAAAAACTTCTCGAGTGATAATGCAACTTTCAATTGAAATATTATTCAATTATTTTCAGAAACACTGAAATTACAATTATTTACAGTTGGTCTTATAATATCTTCTAAACAAAGACCATATTCTGTGTAGCCAAAATGATCTCTCTGCTGCTTTGAGGGAGAATATGGGAGATGTTAACTTACCCTCTTAAGACAGTGTCAATTTTCTGAGTACTTCTGTAGAAAGTGCATAATTATTTCAAGTGAGCTGGACCGAAAAATTCTGATGAAACAGAAGTGTGTCAAAATTACAATTCATTAAGTTTGAAATATTTCTGGGTGGGAGGTGGGCTGGGGGTGGGCAGGGACATGACATTTTGGCTTTGATATAATTACATGCAGTTAAGGAACGTGTCCTCCGCAAAAAACATAAACATATATATTCATATAAACACACACACAGGAAAAAAAATGCTACTTGTTTTTTGCCTACTGTACAGCTCACAAACCTGTGTGGTATTTTACTGGGCTAAGTGTGCTTGCTCTGTCTATCAGACAAGATACATAAACCTGTCTATAAAAATTTAGTAACACAGGACATATTTGATTTTTTGTTTATTTTCTGTATCCCTTTATATCCACTTTGATATTAAGCAAATGTGTTTTGAGAACAGGCAGAAATGGATAGGTAGTTTGAAGACACCCATAATTGTATTTCTTCAAATAAAAAGGTAAGTATTAGCCAACCAGGTAATTGCATTTCTCACAAAACATTTTTATAAATGATGCAACCTTGCAAACTCACCTTCTTCATATTAAATAACTTCTTTTTCTTTCTGATATTGAAAATGGAAAACACAAATTAGACCAATCAGTTTACCTCATGTTAAAGGCAAAAGAATTGGCAATGATATCATTCCAGAACAATTAGGACTACATATGCCATATGCATTCAATGCTTTAACAATATTATAGGAACATTTTTAGGACACACCCATATTAATTTTTCTTTATTTTGAAGGAATAAAATATGAAATGCAGTATTGGAAAAATCCACATTAGGAGAATACTTATAAAGAACATGACTGCAAATGTCTTTTATTGCTGTTGATAGCTGAATAACTATCTTTGGAAGAGATAGAAGTGAAGTTTTATAGAAGAAAAAACAATTGGTATTGCTCAGTGAATTTTACATGCACGGTATTTAGGATAAACATGTCTAAACTGAAATAGCAACCCTTTCTCAAATGTTTTTAACAAAACCCCTAGTAATCATATTGTTAATTTATTACAGTATTTTTTATTCTGGAAAATGTTTCTTTTCTGGAACATACTCTCCTATATAAATAAAGTAAACCATTTTAAAGTCTTATCCTTGGTATCTCTATCTAAGATTTAACCTAGTGAAGAATGTCCATCTATTAACATTGAACTTTGAACAGGAATAATTCCAATCAGTGAATAATTCCAAATTAGTAATTCCCACTTTAGGTATTGATGAAAGTAGACTGAACTTCAACAATATTGGTTCAATTTAACAAAACAAAACCTCACTGTTGCTAGAAGTCATAGTTTTCTTGCCAGTGCTTTCACTTGAACAAAATTCTCCACTGATTTCATCGGAGGTCAAATAAAGCCAAAGCTGGGAAATTTAAAAACTCTTAGCACCCTTTGATAATTTTTCTGTAAAACCTTTTTCTCCTCAAAAAAAATGTCTTCAGTCTGGGAAAATAAGAACACCATAAATATTTCTTCTAGCTATTATATTTATAGAGTTGTTCACTTAGGCTGGAATCAGTAGCTTCAATTGTTGGTGGTTTCTACATTCATTTTGGTCATCACTACAGAGTAGTTTAGTGCCTTCAAAACTGAAATTCTCCACCAAACCCCAACAAGCTTTTGGTTAGCCTTTCAATAATATTATTGACTGACACGAAAATCTGCAGATAGAAGTGATATACTTGCCTATATATAGGCAAATTTGGACTGCTGATTCACTGTTGGGTCCACATTTATAACCACTTGAGCTTGTTTAAACACATGAATATTTGTATATAGAAATATGTTTCGTTAAAATTAGAATTAAATGTTTTCCATCAGGAGTTCTGCTTGAACATAATGTAGTCAAATGCTCACAGCAAAAGGGCAGATGTCAAAACCCATGGATGTCGTGAACCCTACTATGCTGAGAGCAAAAAATAATCCAATTTCTAACTTAAAATTATACTCAGTGATGACACTCCATTACTTGTCTTGATGATCTTCAGTAATGATAAAATTAATGCATTAGTCACATGCAATCAAATTGGCTCCTAGTAAGTCCTGCAGTCTGATTAGGAATGGCCCTCATTTAAAAATTCTCCCTTCTTTTCATTGTACAGCAAGCGATGTCAATTGATTGGGCAGAAAAAAATGAACTGAATTTCAGAGGGGAAATTGATTATAGCAAGACATCTGAAAACACTTTTTTTACCAGAATCAATTTCTGTGAGGTTTGAACTTACTGACAGGTTATAAATAAGAATTCCATGAAAATACACTTTTCTTTGAAGCATTATAATAAAAAGTAAAATAGTTTCTTCTTTTTGTAAACCTATCTCTATGACGTACTTTTACAGTCCTGTAGCTTCTATAAAATCACACCATTACTGCTTTTTCCTCTACATCTCACAGTCTGCAAATGCTCATGTTTATATGTGAGTGTGTGGTAATATTAAGTTTGAAAACAATATACCAGGACACCGAATATTTTAGCTCAAACGAAGGCAAAATGCAAATTAGATCAATTTATATAAATTGGATGCAAATTATTTAGTACTTCTAGCTATACTGGCTTATAGATATGTGTACAATTAAATAGTTCCCACAAATAGGCACGAAGGCTAGCAGACAATATTGTTGATATTTCCATCAACTGTCATGTAAAAAGAGGCTCTCAAATATGGCCTTTTCCTGCTTACATTTTACGTTGACGAGCTCAAAAATACTCAAAGTTCCAATCTGACTTTAAAATTAGCAAGCACAGTAGAAATTGAAATGTTTCAATGATGTATGTTACGTCCTCTAGGTGCTGAAAGAGGAATAATATATTGTGCCAAGAATAGCTGCTGCCAGGTAAGGCTATTACAAAATTTCACTGGACTTCAAAAAGCCTGGAATGTGACACATTGCCAAGTGAGCTTTCAGAAAACAACATTTTAAAGTGATGTTTATTTTGTAACAATACATTATATTAAAAATATTAGTCTTAATTTCACCCCACTTTATTAACAATTTATATTAGTAAAAAATAGTGAAAAATCATATAAATAATTAGGGAAATTTATTGAGAAAATGAGATAAATTTGATATTGCTTCAAAGATACTAATAAGAAACCCGATTATCTTGATATACTTGCTTAAGTATATCTCTGTCATCATAATATCTTTAGTAACATGAAGACTTCTTGGATACATTGCAGCATTGAATGCAACATCAACAAAGACAATACTGTCATTTTACTTATATTAATTTGTGTATCTAGATTACAAGCTAGCATCCTCTGAAATATAGTGAGAGCTTTGAAAACATCCTACTTTTTTGCATATTTTTTATAGTTTATACATTTTCAAGTTATAAATTTATAACATTATTATTAAAATAACAAGAACTAAATAAAATTCACTGTCTTTTTGAGTAGTTGCATACTGTAGTTTTTGATTTTATTCTAATTACTGACTTTTAGTTGAATACCAATGACATCAAAACCAATTCAGTAGTTCAACAGTACCTTTTCTGTAGTATTTTTACTGATTATGTAACAATAACTAAATGCTGCAAAGGGTCTAAAAAAAGAAGCTGATATACAAAAATTGAGTATAAGGATTTCAAATTAACAGGACTGAGAAGGGAATACAGCTAATACAAAATAATCATAGGAACATTTTGTGAGAAAATTCACTCTGAAATATAAAATCCTCTGAAACCCTGGACCATGTTATTGATATGCAGGGCACAATATTAACTGTGATGGTCACATAATCATACCCTTGGAGTGTCATAAGTCCTCATGATAAGCCTGCTGGTTGGAAATATTTTGCACGAAGGAAGAGAGACACCTCCAGAAGGGACAATAAAGATGATTAATCTGGCAGACAAACTACTGAGTGGTAGGCTTCAACAGCTTCATGTGACTCTAAAACTGCCTCGCTGATTTAGGATAATAACTATCCGCTTAGCACGTTTCCTTTACCAAGAAAGGATAACAGTTAATACACCACAAACAGAATCAATATTAAAGAATGGTTTAATATACAGAAAGTCATACAAATTATCACTGCTTGACGTGCCATACGAGGCCACCACCAACAACCAGAAATGGATTATATGTTTCCTCAACCAAATGATAAATTAATTCAGAGCAGTGTGTTAGGATATCCAGAATTTTAAATAGCAAATATTTTAAAACAAAATGCAGCATGAAACAGAAACAGCAAACATAATTATACCATTCTGTGGAGGAAAAAAATGGATCTCCATTTTCAGAGTTAGCTACCAACTGGCTTTTATATGACATTATACCCTTCCGACACTTAGGGTACTCTTCTTGTGTGATCAGGCAGATGTCCTGAAATTAAATTACAAAAAGAAAGACAAAACAATGGAACTCGGCCTTTTTCTTTGCCCGAGAAGGTTTGTTTCACATATATTGGTGACTATCATGGCAGCTTTTTGCACCTTGATTAAGCATCTTAAAACCTACATCACTTATTTCTTTGTAATGTTATTCTTGTATTCAGAATATGAATTGCTAAATTTTAAATCATTGCCACGAATGTGGCATTCTCAGAGATGAGTATAGGACAAGTGAGTTGCATTTAACCAGTGTATGTGAGACATCCTTCTGCTTTCCTGTATTCTGTTGTGTCCTTGCATAGGAATGAAACAGACTACTTTTTCATCCTTCTAGACGGTAATTAACTCACATTTGCATTTTTTAAAAATTTATAGAATTGTAATAAATACACAGACCTACCTTTGTTATTCCCCACTATCATCCTCTATTAGTTTTCATGAAACACATTTTTTCATAAAATGAAAAGGCAAAACAGGTGTTAGATTATTTATGTCTGAGAAATTCATATCATTTAAATAATTAAAACTAATTTGTGTTGAGAGCTACAGTTGCATTTTTATTAGAGAAACAAGTACAAATAGGCATCACTACAGAGCTGTTTATTCAATAATGAGATTAAATGAAATGGATTTCGTAGTCTCAATTCTTTGATTAATGTGGCAATTGGAACTCTAACTTCTGTGCCCTAACAATGTGGAAACAGCTGCTTACCCACTATAATTCTGTAAAACTTTTTTCTTTAAAGCTACACATTTTAAATTATCCCTAAAAATATATTGTAAGCAAAATACTGAATGCTTTCTGTTTAAACAATATTTGCATTATAAACCTGACATTAGTCTACTTTTTAATTTAATCACAAAAAAAAGAAAGTTTCATTTACAAATAACAGTATTTATGTTTACATGTAATGTAAACCTTTCTGCATATCTTTTTGCTTATACAATATAGAGGTTATTGTATTAATCTGTATAGAAAAAATACTGTACTTTTAAAATAATAATAATAAATTGAATTAATTAGTCTACAACAGGTAAGTACAATTTTAAGAGAAAAATATATGAATACAGCTACAAGCAGAATGTGCTCTGTATAAAATTGTCTGCCAAGAACCAGTTAAAGCAGCACAGTACTTACCCTTTGAACAAAAGGCATCAACATATAATTGCAAGAAATTATTATATTTTATGAAATGTTTAAGGGAAAAACAAAGATGCAAAGCTTCTAGCAGCAACATTTTTATACAACTATAATAGAGTATATTGTTCTCCTGTTCACCAAATTTATTTCATTCATTTTTAGTAAAGATGCAGCATATTATATGTACAGGGACTGCATTGCACCAGATAGGGACATGCTAAGCCATGTTATTCTTGCCTTTAAAAGATACCATTTGAATCTATCACTTATAGAATAAACCAGTCTCAGTTTGTGAATCT